ACCAGAGTGCGCAGAGTCAGCGGAACAAATTTTGCACTCTATAAATTTTGGGGTTTAATTGAAATTTTATTTTCTTATATTAGGTTCTTGGCTGCAATTTCTTTATATGGGTTTTTTTGAAAAATTAGTCATTCTGTTATCATAACAGAATGAATTATTTGGGTAAAGTAGAATTATCCTGTTAGGATACGAATAAACCGTTCGAGTAGCATATCTGTTTGGGATACAGACAAATCATGTATGGCCAAATTCAAGAGTTGAACTATTCTTTTCTTTTCACCAGCAATTATGGAATCATCTTCACTCTTCAAACTCCAAATTGATAAGAGGCCCCCCAACTTCAGATTCAACTAGCTTTAACGCTTAGGTCAGGTCAACCACGGTAAGCCAGCTACTTCTAGCTTCTATAGTGGCCTTTCCTGCTACAAACACGTCATATGTGCTTAAGGTTCATGCCTCGGGCAGTAAATTATTCAAACAGCTTTGCTTTTGGCAGCAAACTTGAACAAACATTTTTGTTTGGGAAAACACATTTGTACCGTCATTAGAGGGGGTGTAAATTTATACCCCACACATTAAGATGAAATTCACTAATTAATTGACTCATAAATCTTTAACATACAAATGTTGTCTAGAGAGAGAGAGAGAGGCCAAAAGCCTGTACAAGTAGAGTGACCGAAATGATGTGGAAGGGAAAAAAATTGAATGAAAAAGTTGACAACATTTTAAAGACGAATAATAGAGTGACAAATAAGTAAATATTTATATACATGTAACATAGTCTCTATTCTTTCAAAGTTTCTAGTTTGCGAAACTGAGAATATGGGAATAAATCAATTGCAGCAAGTGAAATAACGACAAAAAGTAGTGCAATTCAAATATTTTTAGAGAAAAAGAATAGGCAGCATGTGGATCTTTGTGCTACCGAACAACTGCTATCAAAAAAAGGTGTAGTAAAACATGGGTGGTATTACTATCCATCAGTCTAGAGCTGCTATAACTGCATCAACAACTTGTTGAGTGGTGCTATCTCCACCAAGGTC